ATGTGCTCTGCAAAGCATTTTACATGAACTGACTTGTTTCTCACCACTGCCCAATGCATTTCACTGATGAGGAAACTGAGGCTCAAAAATAAGATTCCTGCTTAATGTCAGACAACTATTAATAGTGGAACACCCAAGATGTGAACCCAAATCTTCTGTCTCCTGAACCAGGGCTCCAACCGGTACTGTTTCTACTGTCTGTCAAAAGTTTTCACCTCCTCCCCAAATACCAAGTTGGCTAGGTTCAATTAAACCGGTAAGGTTAAACTAAGATTTGTTTTTTTCTTTTTTTTTTTTTCAGACGGAGTCTCGCTCTATCGCCCAGGCTTGGAATGCAGTGGCACAATCTCGGCTCACTGCAAGCTCCACCTCCCAGGTTCACGCCATTCTCCTGCCTAAGCCTCCTGAGCAGCTGGGACTACAGGCGCCCGCCACCACATCTGGCTAATTTTTTTGTATTTTTAGTAGAGACGGGGTTTCACCGTGTTAGCCAGGATGGTCTTGATCTCCTGACCTCGTGATCCACCCGCCTTGGCCTCCCAAAGTGCTGGGATTACAGGCGTGAGCCACTGCACCTGGCCTAAACTAAGATTATTTTTTAATTTTCACCATTTGAGTGAAAATGCACCTAAAATTATTACACATTTCCCGATTTCTTATAAATTGAATATCTTGAATATAATTTAACTTTTATTTTTTGCTATCTCAGAACCACTGCTGTATTTGTTACTAAGAATGCTGTAACACAGTAAGTTTTGTAAAAGACATTCTTCAGGAATCACTGTTATAACCGGGATGTAACAGATTGCCCTTGTATCAACACCCTTGGCCTGTGAGCACTTACAAGTGCTTGTAAGAGTTTTGACTCTGAATCTACCACTACCCCATGCCTAATTAGAGCTATCATTTCTTGCTACTGTCAATGTTTGCCTCTAGCAGCCCATCTGATGTGCTACCTCTAATCTTCAATGGGCTGTGATACCATAGACGAGGTAGCAGTCATTAGTGCTATGCACCAAATATTTCTGGCTCTTTGCTTCCCAGACATATGCTAACACTGAAATTCTCTAACCTTCTTTAAAGTTAGGCATGGCTAAAGGGCCGGGCGCGGTGGCTCAAGCCTGTAATCCCAGCACTTTGGGAGGCCGAGGCGGGCGGATCACAAGGTCAGGAGATCGAGACCACGGTGAAACCCCGTCTCTACAAAAAATACAAAAAATTAGCCGGGCGCGGTGGCGGGCGCCTGTAGTCCTAGCTACTCAGGAGGCTGAGGCAGGAGAATGGCGTGAACCCAGGAGGCGGAGCTTGCAGTGAGCCGAGATTGCGCCACTGCACTCCAGCCTGGGCAACAGCGTGAGACTCCGTCTCAAAAAAAAAAAAAACAAAACAAAACAAAAAAATAAAGTTAGGCATGGCTGTGACTTGCTTTGGCTAATGAAAATGTGAATGAAAGTGACATGTGCCATAGTGGGACAGAAACTTGAAAAGCCAGTATCCACTTGACCACTATCTTTTCATTTAATCAAAATGGTCATGGCAGTACCATATTAAGATGGAGTTTCTATCAGCCTCAGTCCCTGAGTGACTGTGAAGAGTTTCCTGTACACTCATGCTGGACACATCACATGAATGACAAGTCAAGTTTTGTTCTGTTACGCCACTGAAGTCTTGAGGTTTTTGTTAGTGCAACCTAATCCAAGGTATCTATATCAATACAGATCTCTCAGTAAGGGATTCTCTCACATAAACAACTTTATTTATAGATTTTAATGACAAACATTTTGTTTGGATAAAGAATTATCTTTGCGTCCATCCTGGTTCAAAGCTATTTTCAATATAAAATATATTTGCCAAGTACCTACTATGTACAAAGTTGGATGATGAAGAGGACAGTCTATGTCTTGAAATAGCTTCAGTCTTATATTGTGGGTAGAAGCAGGATTTAAGGCAGTTATCGCAAAAAGGCAGACTCTAATGTTATGGTGGTTTAAACTTTAAACTTAAAGAGGAGAGACATCTCATCTAGATGGGAAGAGAAGTACAGACAAGCTTCACAAAGGAAGTTCTGTATCAAATGGCCCTGAAACACACATAAGAACAATTAGGGTCAAGGAGACTACTTAAGATAGAAAAAGCCAACATGAGCAAAGATACAGAGTACAAACAGCAAAGCACAAAGAGCAAATAGTTCCACTGACCTGGAAAAATATGAGAATGGCAAGAAATCAGTTTGCCCATATTGCCCATGCCAGGCTGGTCTGTGCCTAACCCAACAGATAATGGGGAGCCATTCAAAGTCCTGGCTGGAGAAGTGACAAACTTGGAAGTGATGGCAGTACAGATAATAGAGGGGAGGAAGGAAAAAAATGTTAGGGGGTTTCTGTGGTAATTCACAGGAATGGTCCAATGGCCCCAAATCAGTGTGATGACAGTAGGAGTGAAAAGAAGCAGGCCGGGCGCGGTGGCTCAAGCCTGTAATCCCAGCACTTTGGGAGGCCGAGACGGGCGGATCACAAGGTCAGGAGATCGAGACCATCCTGGCGAACACGGTGAAACCCTGTCTCTACTAAAAAAAATACAAAAAACTAGCCGGGCGAGGTGGCGGGCACCTGTAGTCCCAGCTACTCGGGAGGCTGAGGCAGGAGAATGGCATAAACCCGGGAGGCAGAGCTTGCAGTGAGCTGAGATTCCGCCACTGCACTCCAGCCTGGGCAACAGAGCGAGACTCCGTCTCAAAAAAAAAAAAAAAAAAGAAAAGAAGCAGATGCCAGACTGAGTACGGAGGCTCACACCTATATTCCCAGCACTTTGGGAGGCTGAGGTGGAGGATTTCTTTTTTTTTTCTTTTTGACTGAGTTTCACTCTTGTTGCCCAGGCTGAAGAGCAGTGGCGCGATCTCAGCTCACTGCAACCTCCCAGGTTCAAGCGATTCTCCTGCCTCAGCCTCCCAAGCAGCTGGGATTACAGGCGCCTGCCACCACCCCTGGATAATTTTTTGTATTGTTTTTTAGTAGAGACGGGATTTCATCATGTTGGCCAGGCTGGTCTTGAACTCAAGGTGGGAGGATTTCTTGAGCCCAGGGGTTCAAGACCAGCCTGGGCAACATGGCAAGACCCTGTCTCTACAAAGAAAAATTTTTTTTTTTTTTTAATTCGCCAGGTCACCTGCCTGTGGTCCCAGCTACTTGGGAGGCTGAGGCGGGAGGATTGCCTGAGTCCAGGAAGTCAAAGCTGCAGAGAACCATGTTCACTGCACTCCAGCCTAAGTGACAGAGGGCGACCCTGTCTCAAAAAAAAAGAAAAAGTGACAATGGTAAGTAAAGTGTTACCATATTCCTGATAGTTAGCTCCAGCTTCCTTGGAAATAAATTCTATTACTTGTTTACTCTTTGCACCATACAGGACAAAGGTACCTCTTGGATTAATGCCATCAACCCACCTTTTGTGCAACCTCATATCCTGCTTTTTCTGCTAAGAAACTCCCTGCAACCACCCATGAGCATCTCAGGTTCCCCTGCACCTTTGCCATCCTCACTTTCTCATCTGCTCACTTCTTCTTCTTCATCCAGCCAGGCCTACCCACTCTTCATGACCCAATTCAAGCCTCAGCTTCCCTGTGAAACCTTCCTCAAACACACTGATTTCTCCTTTTCCCGGTTTCTCATAGTACCTACCATCTTGGAATTCTAGAGACCATATCATAGTTATCACTGTCATGTGTGTGCTTTATTCCCTCAACTATATTATAGGCCCATTAGAACAAGTTTCTTATCTTAAATGGTTTTGAGTTTCCCCTCAGTCAATGCCTTGCATAAAACATATACTCAAGAGGCGTTCCATTGATTGATACAAAGTCTGTTAGTCTCTAAGAACATGAATGCCTTGTTTCATCATTAATATTTTATTTTTATTAAGCCATGGTTAGACAGACATGTGAAATGAAGAGATTCACCACTTAGTATCTCAAAATATTCTTAAGAATTTCTAATCATAGGAGGAGCTGTTATTGCCTTAAAAGATTATTTGAAAATATCATTTGGTAATAAATTTCTGTGCCAGCTTCCTTTTAATCCTCTGTTGACTTGAAAGTACACCAAACATTTCAGTGATCATCTCTACAAGATAATTCTGACTTAGAAACAACCTAATTTGTCATGGGGACTATCTTACTTTTAGTAACCTAGTAAGAGTTTTTTCCTACCTTCATGTCCAGCTATCTATAATTCACAGTACATCCACTGAAAAGTTTTGAGTATTTTACTTCCTGAGGTAATAGCTGCCTTCACTGGTCCCCCATTCAATTAATTACATTCAGTTATAAGATTTCACTCCTTCCTCATACGTGAAGGAAACATAAACAAAAATGAGGCTTACTGAGGAATCATAAAAAGGGACATTGTTGTAAAAAGGAATCCAAAATGTTCATGGGACACTCTCTTAACCAAATCTGCTCTTCTCTCTAAGATATATTCTCTTGCAAGCAAAAGCACCGAGGAGACAACGGGGGAAAGTGCCAGAAGGAAAGGAAGCAAGAGAGGCGTACTTTGCTGATCAAACTGACCCCGGTTCTGGCCCCCCCTAGGGCAGTAAGCAATGACAACGACTACCCATACGCTGCCGATTCCCGCTCAGGCGCTCCCTGGACTTTTCTTTCCTCTTCCCACAGCAGGGCCCGAATGATGGTGTCGGGGCTCTGCGCCAAGGTGCGCAGCGCTGCGGGGTCCCGCACAGAGATGACCTCAGACCTCCTGGCCCGCGTCCTGGCGGCCTTTCCCCCAGGCTCGGCGGCCCCCACCCAGGCGAGGTCATCCCCATACCGGGCCCCTAGCCCGAAGGACAACTGGGCTGTGCCCCGACCCCTCCTTCCCGGGCACTAGCGCGCGGGCTCCGCGCCCCGCCCAGCCCGGGAACCGCGGCCGGCGGGGGAGGGGCGGGGCGGCGCGGTGACCGTTATTCGCGGTCAGCCATCGCGCCCCGAAGCGCACTGGGCAGGCCCTTACCACAGCGGAGAGGGAGGCAGGGGGAAGGTGGCGCCCGGCCCGACGCGGGGCAGGAAGGCGGAGGCGGCGGCGGAGGCGGCGGCGACAGCCGCGGGGGACCCCGGCGGGCGCCCACGACGCGGTGGGCTGCATGGGCGCCGCCATAGTGGGGACGCAGCGGCGGGCGGAGCGCGCGGCCGCGACCCGGTCGGGAGCCTGCGACCAATGGGCGCGCGGAAGCCGGGCGGAGCGAGGACCTGGCCAATGCGGAGCTGCGCTGCCCCGAGCAGGCCAATAGACGCAGGAGCCGCGGATTTGCCAGCCCGCCCACCCCGCCTACCACGGGACCAGAGCTGCGGCAAGTGCGGGGTTAGAGCTTCGCGCTAGTGGAGCGCCACAGCCTGCAGGTTCAGCGCGGGTGTCTCTCCCGGGCACGTCGAGCCGTCTAGAGGAACCCTCTTCCCCCGGCTTCACGGCCCAGAGGACGCACGGCTCTCTCCCCTCGAGAGCCTGTTTCGTCGCCCGCGCGGGGAACGCAAAGTGCTGGGGTAGTCACCGCCACTTCACACCGAGGAACATCTCATCTCGCCCTCCAGGTTGTGAGCGCACCCAGTCCGCTCACTGAGGCCGAAAGCTTCAGACCTCCGTGGGCCCTGGTGGGTAAGGGGGCACGGAGATGAGCGTTAAGAGACTCGTAGAACATTTTTAGTCCGGGCATGGCACAGGGCCTCCAAGCCCCACTTACACTTTGCAGCCCTCCCACCCCAGTTTTTCATTCCTGCGGCTGAGCCCTGGTGTTATCCGCCTGGGGCGGGATTTAAAACTGTATTCCTCAACAAAGCTGGGGTGGTCTTTAAACTGCAACCTTGGATCCAAAGGCCCTACCTTACTGAGGGAAGGCAGTTTGCCCTACAAAAAGGCTTCTGGGAGGAGCTGCCTAAGGCAGGAAGGGACTGGCAGACCAGGAGGTGCCGCTTTTGACTGGGGCCAGTTCTCGAGGTCGACCCGACTGCATAGGCAGCCAGTAGGGGGGAGAATAGACCGGTCTGTGTGATTTGGATCACTTGAGTTGCGGTTTCCTAAGAATTACGTTGACCAAAATAAAAAGTGGTTTCTGGAAAACTGGTCAGCTGTTGAGTAAAAACTGCTGGGATTAAACCCAGCGCCCACCGCTGGAGGAAGTGGGGTCATCGAGAAAGGTAGGGACCCTGTGTAAAAAGCCTGGTGAAGTGTTCCTCTCTTTTAAAGATGGATGGATTAGTGAATTGGGCTCTCTCACCAATCCATTAAGGCCTGGTTCTGCCCAGCCTCCCTTGCTACATCCCCTCGGAATCCTCAAGTGGAGCGGGGGGCGGGGGGCGGGGGGGGGGGAAGGCCAACTTCCCTCTCTGGGCCCCAGGAGGGAGCTGACATAAAAAGATCACCTCCTGCACCTTTCTTCACAATGAGATACATTAGCAACCACCTCTCACCCGCAGGGGCACAAGGAAGCATCCAGAGTAGCTGAGCTGACCCAAGCCTCTCCCGCACCTGGACAGGGCCATGCCTCAGGAAGTGCCTGGCTGTTCAAGGGCCAGCCGGTGCAGCTCCGGGGCGCCCAAGTCCTGCACCTTTTCATTGCCCCCCTCCCTGTTCTATGGTTCCCCATCCTTGTCCAGTTTGACCTCAGGGACCCACCAGCCAAAGGAGATTGCATCTTCCCCCAGGGAAGCTTCTCACCAACTAGACAGCTCGGAGAGCAATCTGAGGATCCCACTGGAGGTTGGGTCCCTTGCTTTTCAAGCACCTAAAACGCACCCCGTTCTTCACACTGGTTCCACAATGTGTATATAACACAGATACTGGCATGAACTTAGGCCAGCTCAACGAAGATGTATCAAATGGGGCAGCAGTGAGAGATACTCTGTTGAGAGGACTCATTGGTCTGGTGCTTCCTGTTACCTCATCCTGCCTGTCTCTAAGGCAGAGCAAGCACAACAAAGAGGTGCTCAGAGCCAGAAGTGTCCTTGTTCCCATGACCCACCATACTTGGCCTAATACAGAGCTTGACAAGCAAAGGACCCACTCTCTGGAATTTCCTAGGGACTGCCTTACTGATTTGTCTTCAAAAACACAGCCCTGCTCCAGAGCCTATGACTAGATACACCCCCAGCCTGACGTGGACCACTTGGGCTCCTTGGGGCAGACAGCCAATCCTCTGCTCAACACATTTTATTGCTAAGGACAAGGTGATGCACCAGTTTTCAAAATAATTTGGTTTATAGTGTTCATACGTAACAAAAAAGGGGAAGTATTATAAATCTGATTCTTGTATACACAGGGTATTGGTGTGAAGCCCTCCAACCCTGGGCCCGGCAAACAAATTCTCGAGGAGCAAAAACCTGTTTAACCCCTTCAGTATTGCCCTCTAGTCCCACCCCCACCCCAAAATCAGCTCCCTCCCACCCACAGTGGGCCTCCAATGGCCCCAGTTTTTTCGTCCTAACCCTACAGTAAGCCCCTGCATGATTGCAATTTTCTGTTGACAGAATCACCCACCAGGCTCTGCCTGCTTCCATCATTAAAATCCCCGCTTCAGGGTAATCCCCACCCACACCCTCTAATACTTTGCCACAGGGGCTCTGCACCTAGAGTGTTGTGGGCACACACCCATGTTATCCCCATGTTCTCCTTCAGGGGAAGACAAAGAGGTGGCATCAGCTCCTTAGCATCTCAATACTGCAGCTCTGCCAGCACTGTCTTGAGGCTGTTCCAGGCCTGGACAGATGCCACACCCATCTCCAGCCAACCCCCAGGAGCCCTTACTCAGCTCAGCTGAGGGCAGAATTTCACATTTTGTTTGCCCTGCATAGGCAAGGAAGAAAGTAAAGGCCAGGGGCTGGCAGAAGCTGGTCCAGACCAAACATACATACACACACACACGCGCGCGCACACATACACACACATACACACATATAAATACAAAAGTAGGGGCTGGGGCAAGTACCAGCACCTCAGCCTAGTAGGTGCAGGTGATAGTTATGAAGCTAAGTCCTAGGCCAGGAACAGGGCAGCCAGTCCAGCCAGCACAGTTGACCCCTCTATGGACTGGGGCCAGTGCAGCCACAGCATTCCAGTGCTCAGCCCCGTAGCTGGCAGATCAGCGACTGCTGCCACGTGCCCAGAAACGGCTCGTCCTTTCGCTACAGCGGAATGCAATGAGGGTGGGTGGGAGGATGATGGGTCGGTTATTTCATTCCTTTTCTTTTTACAACTTCACTTTCAGAGACTTCAGAGTTCCATGTCTGCTGTGCTGTGGAACCCAGAGTGCTCTTGCCTGGATGGCTGGGAATTCCTTGGACCCTGGAAGCACCTACTCCATGATGGCCCGGTATAGTGCAGGCTCAATATAATCTTCCCGGTATCTTGAGTTGATAACTCGTTGCCGTTTCTTTTCTTGCTTAACCTCTTTCTCTGTGAAAATCTCATTGAAGCGCATGTCTGAGGCTACTGACTATAGAAGAATAAGCAAGCCAAATGTCAGCTACCCTAAGAAAAATACAAAGGGATGCATCCTTGCCTTGTTCCCTCCCTCCAAGACAGGAACTGGGGACACACAGAAAATACTCACCAGTCTAGATTTGACTCTCTTGGGAAGCTCTTCATCCAGTGTGTATACATCATCTCTCTTAACCACAAGCTGTGAGCCATCCTCAAACTCCACCTACCAAGGAAACAAAGGCCTTTTGGCTAGGATATCCCTGACTCTTTCCCTGGTTCCCATGCACAGTGGCAGTCTCCTACAGTCAAAGGAAGGAGTTAGCACACTAAAATAAGGACTACCTTACTTCACATTTGGCAGACTGGACACAGGACAGACCCCTAGCTCTGAAAGGGTTACCAGCCTATTAGCTCTCCTAAGAGCAAAGACTTGCCTCTGGCCCAACAGGAAGCACAGAATTAATCAAGCACCCCCCACTCCCTAGAAAGGTAGAACCTATGGATACCTGGTACATTTGGATAGGGTGGGAGGCCACAAACTTGGCTCCATAGACTTGGCCATCTGTCCATCTCACTTGGACCACTTCCCCTTCAGCAGGAGGACCCAACTGGAGACAGTCCTGGCTCTGAGGAAACAGGAAGGAAGGAGGGTGAAAGGAAGGTCCACCTGCACACAAAGGTAACTGTCCTCTACTCAGGGAAGAGTGAACCAGGACAAAGTAACTGTTTTAGAGAGCAAGGCAGCTCTCTGGGCTGAAAAATGTTAAAGACCTTGCTAAGTCAAAGTCTGCCCCTATCTCTGCCCTCTCCTGCTTCTAGGTGACCAAAAAAAAAAAATCAAGCTATAATAAACTTAGTAAACACAGGAGTTAAGTGCCAGAATCGAGAGTCCTTCTTAAATTCCCTCAACTGTTCCCCTGAGGGTTCTCCAGGGCTCTGCCATGAAAAAATACCAGAACCATACTCAACTATAAGAAATGTTTTTTTCTTGGCCAGGCATGGTGGCTCATGCCTGTAATCCCAGCACTTTGGGAGGCTGAGGCAGGCAGATAACGAATTCAGGAGATATAGACCATCCTGGCTAACATGGTGAAACCCTGTCTATACTAAAAACACAAAAAATTAGTCAGGCATGGTGGCGGGCACCTGTAGTCCCAGCTACTCGGGAGGCTGAGGCAGGAGAATGGCATGAACCCAGGAGGTGGAGCTTGCAGTGAGCCGAGATTGCGCCACTGCACTCCAGCCTGGGCGACAGAGCGAGACTCCGAGATGGAGTCTCCTGGGTTCTAGCAATCCTCCTGCCTCAGCCTCCCAAGTAGCTGGGACAACAGGCACATGCCACCATGCCCGGCTAATTTTTGTATTTTTAGTAGAGACGGGGCTTCACCATGTTGGCCAGCCTGGTCTCGAACTCCTGACCTCAGGTGATCTGCCTGCCTCAGCTTGCCAAAGTGGTGGGATTACAGGCATGAGCCACTGTGCCCAACCAAGAAATATGTTCTTAACAAGAAAGATGAGAAAGGATCACCTACCATGGGACCTGACACAAGTACTTCAGAACTTTTATTCCTTCCAGAAGCAGGTAAGTACCCCAAGTCCTCATCGTATTCCCAGCATAGGGCTTGGTATATGGGGGGGAGGTTAACACACAAGCATATTGGCTGAATGAAAGGTCTGATGGGTATACCTGAGAGAAGGTCCTTAGGGACATGGCTTAAAAAATAAAAATCAGAGAGGGGCAGGGCAGTGAGTCTAAAAGGATGTGGATGCTCACAACTGCTCTTACAATCACGCTACCATTCATTTGTTGAGTGGAAACAGTTCCCTACTTATTTATTGAATAGGTAATCAGTAAATACATTTTGTATCAATCTAACACTTAGGCATAAACTACAGCCTCCTCCACCCAATATCTGAGGTGTTCTAAGATTTAACTACTCAAATGTTTGGTATTTGATAAATTGCTTAAGTTCTCTGCAATTCAGTTCCACCTCCTATAACAGCACTTCTGAAAATGTGGTCTGTGAACCTCTGAGGGGTTCCTGAGACACTGTCAGGGAGCAAGTGAGACATGACTATTTTTATAATATTAAACTATTAGCCTTTGTCACTGTGTTGTCATTTACCTAGGATAGGTACAAATGCTGGCACCTGAGTGCACATCAAGGCACTGACCCCAAGCTCTACTAGTTGTTATTGCATTTTTCACCACTGTACACTCATAATTTAGGAGAAAAGAGCAAAAACTCAATTGCATGTAACATATCCCTTGATGAAGCAGTAAAAATTATTAATTTTGTTAAATCTGAATCATTGAGTACATGTGTTAAGTCCTCATAAAACACTTTTGGTTGTCTCAAAGAAATATATCTGTGTTGTTTGAGTTGTGAATTACACTAGCTGCTTTGTTCATGGAATACCAGTTTTATTTGAAAAAAATTACTGGGCCGGGCACGGTGGCTCATGCCTGTAATCCCTCACTTTGGGAGGCAGAGGTAGGAGGATCGCATCAGCCCAGGAGTTCAAGACCAGCCTGGACAAAACAGGGGAGATCCCATCTCTACAAAACATAAAAAATTAGCCAGGTATGGTGGCACGTGCCTATAGTCCCAGCTACTCAGAAGGCTGAGGATTGCTTGAGCCCAGGAGGATGAGGCTGCAGTGAGCCATGATTATGCCACTGCACTCCAGCAGTGATGCTGTGCAACAGAGCGGTACCCTGTCTTTAAAACACTCTATGAAATAAAATTTTAAAAAAGAAAAAAAGTGACTGACAAACTGTGGCTTTTCAGACTTAGGTATGTGGCA